CAAATTTTTTAAGTCTTCTGTTTGCCCTAAAGATATTATTTAAATAGCCCTGTAGCTGGACAATTCCTGCCAACTCCATAACTTTGCCTTATTATTATTGCTTTGGAATAGCCAATCAGCTGCAAGTGATGATGTATAAATAAAAAGCTTCAGTAGAAGTTTCCCAGTATAGAAGACATTCTCTCTCTTCCTCTGGTCCACAAAGCCTCTGATTTCATGTCAAAGGACAGTTCCTCCAGTTTACTCTTTAGGGACCTGGTACTTCTCGGAGTTTTATGCTAAACACCGATGCCTGAATCAGTTCAAATTTAGTGTGCTTGAGTCTATAAGGTGGTGAAACTTCACTGAGTGACTGCAGAAGGTGGTGTGCTTAAAGGTATACAAGAAAACTTCAGGTAAGCAGAATTGTTTTGGAGAGTGGTGTCTTGTCTTTTTCAAATTTTCAATAAATTAGGATCCTGGTTCTAAAGAATTTATATTTGTAAACTTGACATCCCCGTGACTCTTCTATAACTACCCATTTGTACTTCTTAATTCCTTCACTTTTTTTTACCTAACCCTCCCCTACAACCCTCCTCCCATGAGACAACTTTCAAAATGGTCTCTGTATCTATGATTCTGTTTTTGTTTTGATCATTTGTTTATTTTGTTGTTTTTGTTTTTAGATTCAGTTATTGATAGATTTATGGTCATTTTATTATTCATGTTTTTAATCTTTTTTCCTTCTTCTTCTTAAAGAAAACCTTTTAATATTTCATGTAATACTGGTTCGGTGGAACTTCTTTTGCTTTTTCTTATCTGGAAAGCTCTTCATATGTCCTTCGATCCTTTATAGTCAAAAATATTGTAATACCTATGTATGGTGTTTGAAGTATTGGGATGATCACATAGTAAGTTAAATAATGTCTAATCACTGGGTTATATACCTGAAAGTAATAAATATTGTATGTCAACTAAAATTGAAAAATAAAAAATAATTTAAAATCAATCCAAATACTCATCAACCGGTGAATGGGTAAATGAATTGTGGGCTGCTCATACAATGGTACACTGTATAACAGTAAAAGAAGATGAAGAATGAGTACACACAACAACATGGATAAATATAAAAAAGATGTAAAGTCAAAGAAGCCATACACAAAAGAATGTATAATGCATGAGTTTGTTTATATGAACAGGCAAAAATAATTGATACTTATAGAAGTCAGAACAATGGTTATCTCTGGGGGACGGATATAAAAATCATTTAAAATCAAAAAAAGAAGAAAAAAAATAACAGTCTGTAGAACCCCACCCCCCACTGCCCAAGAAAATGAATTTGTATTTGTTAATTCATTTTTTTTCTCCCTGCAAACTCTTGGAAGGAGCACTCACCAGAGTCCAATATTGAGAACCGATTCCTCAAAATATTGTAGGTCCCTGGAGCGGGAATGTACTTTAAAAACCTACAAAGCCAGCGTGTGTTATTTTGAACTGGTAAACTGTCCAGATCCTTTCCTTGACTATAAATTACTGATACATGCACCTTTCCGGCCACCCTGCAGGCGCCCAGAGTAACACTGTGAGTAAAGACAAGGAGCGGCCTTCTCCTGGCCTTCAATCCATGGTTCTAAAGTGTTACTTGTCTATTTGCATAGAAAAACTCTTCCTTTGAAAGCTGGCCCATGTGGTAAAGATGAAGTTTTGCCCTTTCTTGTTGCTCTCTGACAAATTTCTCTCTAGTCATTAGTATATTTGGCACCCGGCTCATAGATGTTTCTCTCCAATAAACTCCTGTCACATCCTGGTGATATCTATGACACTGCAACTTCCATTCCCTTCTTGACTCCTCTATTGACTTGAACTGATTTAATCCTGAAACCCTAACCTCCAATAGCCTACTTTCTGATTCCAATCTCCTAGTCTCTGAATACACTCCCCATCTATTACCACCGTTATTCTTTGACCTCACGAAGTGCTTTCATCCCTTGCTCTCTTCACCTTTCCCATTTGATTAGTCCCCATCCTAATTTACTTCCTTCTTTCTCCTAGATTCCACAGTCTCTTTTTTTAATCCTCATCAGAGAATATTTTTCTATTTATCTTGAGATAGAGTGGGAGGGAGGGAGAGAGAAAGAAACATCGACGTGAGAGGGACACATTGATTGGTTGCCTCCCACATGACTCCAACCAGGACCAGGAACGAACCACAAAAAAGGTACGTGCCCTTGACTGGAGTTGAACTCATGACTCATTAGTCCATGGGCTGATGCTATAACTGCTGAGCCAAACCGGCCAGGGCCCAGAATTTTAATTCGATCTAAAGTGTCTCATTCTCAAAATTTTAGCCCCTTGTCTTGTTTGCTGCTCTGAGCCTGGAAAAATTTAACCCTGGAAAAATTTAACCCTGGAAAAAGTAACTCTGGTTCATCTCTCTTTGTATTCTCTTCTTCTGATCTCTGGGTGCTGAGCTCATGCATGTGGATGAATACAACTCCCAAATGATGATTTTTCCACCTGCACCTGACCCTAAGCAATATCTGGCAAGTGCTCTATGTATTCCTAGTCTGCATTTCCTCCAAGATCAAAAGCCATTCAAATTTTAATCTTGACTTCTGGTCAAGATGGTGGCATAGGTAAACGGGGTATCGTATCCTCCCACAACCACATCAAAGTTAGAACTAAACTACAGAACATCATTCAAAACTGCCTGAAATCGAGCTGAATGGAAATCCTACAACACAAAATTAAAGAAGCCACATCCAGACTGGTAGGAGGGGTGGAGGCAGATGGGCTGGTCCCACACCCACTTGTGACGGAAAAAAAATTAGAAGGATACCTCAGCTGGAAAAGTTCTTCCTGAGGACTGAGGGGCCCCTGTCTCACACCAGGCACCCAACTCAGGGTTCCAGTGCCAGGAAGAGAAATCCCCATAACTTCTGGCTGGAAACACCAGTGGGAACTGAGGCTGAGGGAGGGTGAGGCGGCTGGAGCCCCAGGCAGCTCCTCTAAAAGGACCTACACACAGACTTACTTTGACTCACTCCTTCTGGGCTCCAGCATTGGGGAGACAGCTTGGGGGGCGCCAGACATATACGGGGACGAACTGAGTTGTTTGGCATTAGAGCGAGGGCTGGGTGGTTGGCTTGAGCTATAAGGAGGAATAAGTCATGGTCCCACTTTCCAAGTATGACACTTCTGGGAAAATATGCTACAAAAAGGCCCAGAAAATGAGCAGAATTATCTACCATTTGGTTAGCATATCCAGGAAACATATTGGTTTGTTCTGGAGCTGTGGTTTACCTCCAAACATCAATATTGTGTGATGAGACTACAAGTTATATATAGCACCATCATTGAAGCTGATGTTGCCTTCAGTTGGGTTCCTGTCCTACCTAGAGAATGGTCCCCTTGATTGAATTTGAGGGTCTTGAGCATTTCCCTCAGATCACATATGTATACTATCTATCATCCCACTAAACACTTCTCATACATTTTGTGACTTGATGTAATCCTCAGGACAACCTACAAAGCAGATATTATCCCCATTTTATAGAGAAAGAAAGTAAAACTCAGAGAGGTTCAAGTAACATGATCTACCTAAAGCAACTCAGCTAGTAAGTAGAGGAGCTAAGGTTTGAGTCCTGGTCTGTTTGACTCTAAAAAACATGTTCTTAACCAAAAACATGTGTTTCCTTTTGTTTTGATTCTGGCTACACACACACAGACACATACATGCGCATCCTCACTGGTACTGGATTTTCCAGGATTGTTATAATTGGGGGGAAAAAATAAAGCCATCAGAATTGCCTTGAATTTCTTGTATTTTGGGGTTTTAAAAAATATGGCTACTCTTATATAATGTCTTTAATTATCATGTATACTAAGATCAGGTATATGTGATATAAATATATATTACATTATTATTATATATATAGTCAGATATTTATGTGTATAATATTAGAAAAATGTTTATATGTGTATTTTATTTATATAGTACTTTATTTATAGGAAAACTTTGAGGTGGATGTACAAACATGTACATATACACAGATAACCATTTACCTATCTATTTTTATATTACTAATTTGGAACTATATCATATTTTCTTGTCTTTATAACATGGGTTTTTTCCTATGTCATTAAATACACTTTGAAGACAGTATTTTAATGGCTGCCAGGTAACCCATTATTTGGTTATGCCATCATGAACTTAACCGTTTCTCTATAATAGACATTGGATCTTTTTTTTTTTTTTTTTAATTTACAACATAACAATACTACAATAGATTTCCTTGTGCTTATACCTTACAGATACCTATCATTTTCTTTCTTGGGATGAGTTTCTAGAAGTGGAATTATTGAATAAAAGGGTTTCTTCTGTTTGTAAGGTTATTCAAATATAATTCTTAGATTTTGCCAATTCATACTTGAGTATTATCCCTGCTAATCAACAATTTCCCCTCCTATGATTTTGTTCCTTAGAAGAAAGGGACTACACACACTGAGGTCTTCAAGATCTTTTCCAGAAGATCTCATTCTCTCATGATGGCTGAAAAATACTACCAATGCTATGACAATGCTAGAGCTCCTGTTCCAATGCCTGGGGGCTTTAAGGGTCCTTAGGGACAGTATCTGAAGAGATACATCATTCTTCATTTGCATCTGAACAGCTGAAGACAATCACCTCTGGGTTCTTGGTCTGATTTGAATCAAGCAGGCTTTTGGAGATTTGTTTCACCAGATATGTTGATGGTTCTTCTTACCTTGGAATGGTAGAGAAATCACCAAGGAGACCCGAGGTCCTGTTGCAGCTCTGGGCTTTAGTTTCTTGCTTGTAAAATGAAAGGTTTGCACCAGATAATTTCTAAAGCCTTTTACCTCTGCCAGTGTATGGTGTCCTAGGTGACCTCTTTTCTCCTTTTCTTGGACACATGTCTCATCTCTCTGTATATTTTTGTTTCAGTGTTTGTTTCCTTAGATCGTATTCCTGAAGGAAGGGGGCTGAGCTGCTACACAAGATGTTTGTGATTAATGAGCCCCAGAAGCTGCAGATTCTGTATGAGTCCTTGGAAAAGAGCACCCCTGAGTCCTATAAGGTGAGGGAGTAGTGGGTGATGTGGGGTGAGAGGGCTGAGGTGTGAGGAGGATAGATCCAGGGCTCAGAACCTTTCCCGGGCAGATGGAAGTACACGTTTAAAGTCAGATTTGTTCTCTAGGGATGATGTTAATAGCCATATCCATTCACCTCCCTTACTCTTTTTCAGCCTCTTAAACATCTTTTGAATCCACTGTATTACTATCTCTAACGGATTTATTTATTTATTTATTTTGCTCCAGGCTATTGCAATATCTCCTTGTTTTCAATATTACCACCCCATCTGCAATTTGGTGAGCAGAGTCATCTCTCTAAACAAATATAATCACATCACTCCCTTCTTTAAACATTTCAATAGAGGTCCATGTTCACAGCATCAAGTCCACGATCCTTAATTGGGAATACAAAAATTTATCAAAAAGTGCCCCAACCTCTTCTACTCATCTCCCAGCATTACCTTACCATACACCACAAGCTACAATTATTGAGCCCCTCACAGTTCAGTAGGTAGGATATAACCTGCTACACCTTCAGGCATTATGCTTTTTCTCTTACTTGAAATTACTTGCCCACCTTCTGTCTTTATTTTGCCAGGGAAAAATGTTACTTATCCCCCAAGGCCCAATTCAGGTATCACTTCTGTTAGTCTTCCACCACTCCCCCGTCGGGATCCCACACCACCACAGGCAAACATCTATCGGAACATGTGCCCCGTTATGATCAGACTGTTTATCTCTCTACCCTTGTAGACTTAACTTGAAGGCAGTGGCCATATTATATTCATCTTTATATTCATCTTTGAATTCTCTATACTTGACACACATCTGATATATAATAGATACCAAATTAATGATATGGTATGGTATGAAATGAAAAAAAAAGAAAGGGAGGGAATGCAATGAATTTTTTTAAAAGAATGAATGAATGAATGAATGTAAAGGGATCCAGCCATGGACTTGGATTTTTGTGAACCGTTGCCGGGTTATTTTCTAGCATATCTTCCATAAAATAGTCCAATGAGCCATTCTGGAGGCCCTGGCTCTATCTTGTTCAGCCTTCCTAACTCCTGGTTTTATTGCCCATACCACATCCAAGACCCTATCTCCAAGAACTTCCTCTCCTGTTTTGTTCTGTTGCTCTTGTAGGTATATGGTGCCATTTTTCACATTAAAAATAAAAACCCATTCAACCTGGAGGTGCTGGTGGCCAGATTATCAGATAGTCATCAGTCGGCCTCAGAAAGAGGTGAGAGCTCAAGCTACTGCACACCAGGCCAGTGCTGCTCTGGCTGTTTTCTGGGTGGGAACGAGAGAACTGAAGCCGGAGGCTGGGAGAACAACCGTGGGCACCCCTGGTTCACATAGGTTTTGAAAAAGCTACTTGGGGGAGAAGGTAGGCCAGTGAGACAAGGCATGGGAATAGACCAGATAGTGAATAGTCCATGTATTGTAAATAACACTAGGGTCCCATCTAGTTCATTCTTTTCTGTTAAGATTCTGACCGCAGCCATACACCTCAACATAGACGCCTATGGCTGGAAGTGGTTAGGAAATGTTTCTTTCCCTACGACTAAATGAACGTAATCCAATAATACTTGAGTTAGGGTTGGGCTTGAGATCTAAACTTGCCAAGTGACCAGCTGTGTGACCTTGGGAAGATGACTGCTCTCTTAACTATATAAAGTAAAGTTGATAAAATTATTATGTGAGGGAATTGTTTTTTTGTTTTTGTTTTTATCCTCACCTGAGAACATTTTTTTCCATTTCTTGTTCAGATAGAGTGGGAGGGAGAGCGAGGAAGAGAGAGAGAGAGAAAGAGAGAGAGAGAGAGAGAGAAACATTGATGTGAACGGAACACATAAAGTGGTTGCCACCTGCACGACCCAACCAGGGCCAGGGACAAACTGCAACCAAGGTACGTGCCCCTAGCGGGAACCGAACCCAGGTCTCTCTGGACCGCAGGTTGAAGCTCTAACTGCTGAGCCAAACCGGCCAGGGCAGGGAATTGTTAAATAATAGATAAGTTGTGTATATTTAATAAGAATGTCTTCCCTATCTTCCAGGGTTGGGGAGTATAAGCTGTGAATTCCTTTCATCTCAGAGAAGGGATATTTTACCTTCCTCTATTTGCATAGTAACCAGGTGAATTAGAATTCACCTGATGGCCCCCAGGATGCCCAGGAGAGTGTCAGCAGCTGAAAGTAAACAGGTAGGCAGTGGCAGGCTTGGCCCTCTACTCAAGTGCTGCTGTGAGCGCTGGCTTGACGAATCTTCCTCCAAGTCCCCTTTGTTCACATGCATACCAAGGGTCGATCACCATGCCAGCCCCAGAGTGCTGTGTCAGAATTAGCTTAGGCCTTGTGTCCTCACAGACCCAGAATCTTGACCCTCCCCTAACCCTGTTCCTTATACTTCTCTCTGTACCGGAGACACTCTCTCTTTTAAACTTTTATGCAATCCTGGTGCCCCTTCCATCCCAGACAATGGAGCTACTTATCCACCCTCCCAAGGGCAGCTGAGAAAGGAAACACCTTCAGTGTGTCAATGGTGACTTATTCTTCAAGGGATTCCAAGGCCTTTTTATGCAGCTTTCTCAGAGAACCAGAGAGTATCAAGCAAATGAGTCTCTAGCACGCCAGACATACGCAAGAACGTTGGGTAAATTATAGTGCTATGTAAATTTGATTGATATTTGTTATATCAGGAGATGAAAGATGAACTGTGACATCCGTTTTATTGAAATATCTGTTAAAATAAATATTGCCTTGTATACGTAGATATTTGGTGTAGAATTCAGAACCCACGTATTCCACATGTGGATCTTGAAAGAAAATTCAGCCACGTGGGAGGTCACTCTGGTGTACTTCTTCGTTATTTTAGGAACGTCAGCTCATTCTATCCTTCCTTGGGTATTTCTGGGACTTTTTCTGAGATGTGCTTTCTGCATCATAAAGCAATTAGAATTTTGACCCTTTCAATTACTTGGGAAGATTCCGAAGCAGACATAGAAATTAGTACTTTTTTCCGTGTCTGTTCCCTGCTCTAGACTGTGGGATCCTCAAGAAAAGGAATGGTGTCATATTCATATTCTGCGATCTTGGTGTTTGGTAAAAGTTGGCCAAATAAATGCTCTCTCTCTTTTTTTTCTTGACAGGAAAGGAAACTTTCGGAGCATCTTCTTGGATACCTCACATGCAGGGCTTGTGAATGATCATTGGGACTTTGGAAGAAACGAGAGGAGCTTGAAATATGTTGAACGCTGCCTACAGAATTTCCCAGGGTTCGGGGTGCTGGGTCCAGAGGGGCTCCCTATCTCGTGGACTGTGATGGAACAGTCCTGTGAGATGAGGATGGGTCACACAGTCCCTAAATACTGACGCCAAGGCAACATGTGGCAAATTGGTTATCACCTGGTAGAGTATATTATTCAGAAACAAATACCATTCTATGTTCATGTGCGAGACAGTAAAGAAAATTACAAAGAAGACCTGAGAAATTTTGGATTTCAGTTTCTTCCTTGTGGCTGGCATCAGTGGAAGTGCACCCCCAAGAAATATTGCTGATTGGTGCCATTGTCCATTTTGAGCTTTTCTTATTGGTGAAAATACATCAGTACAAATATAAACATGGTAATCTACATTGGCACAAAAAAAAGCATCGAATGATCTGGGGTCCATGCAGCTCTTAAGCCCATTCTTATGTAATAGTTTAGTTTCCTTTTCCTTCATATTACAGAAAATTAGAAGCTTGACCTTTGGATGTCATACTTTTTCTTTATGGTGACAGACATTTCAGAACTAAAATCACCCCAATGTCAATCATTAGGGCCAAGAGAAATCTTTAAAAGCAGTATTTTCTTCTTTGAAGATGATGTCTTTTGGAAAAGAATCCTGCTTGTTCATGCTTCTGTATTTGAAAATAAAATGTCTGCTTTGAAAAGTGTCTCCTCTGATACCCTCCCCTGTCTCTTACAAAGTCTTCTGAAGGGCTTTCCAGGAGGGCTCACCGTCGTTGCTTTTGGTCCTGGGTGCCCTTTAAAGAGCTTTGAGATGAAGTGTGTGGCTGTACCTGGCGGTTTGGTTTTCTGACTAGCTTTTTATCACAGGAGCTTGGGAGGTTGAGCTGTGTGTCTTCCTATTTTCAAGATGATTTTTACACCTATGCTGTATTAGTTTCCTATTGTTGTTGTAAAAACAAACAAACAAACAAAAACCCCACAAACTTAGTGGCTGAAAGCAACAAAAATGTATTATCTTATATTTCTGGTAGTCAGAAATCCAAAATGGGCCTTAAGAGATAAAAATCAAAGTGCCAGGAAGGCCCATTTCTCTGGAGGTTCTTGAGGAAGAATCCACTTCCTCATCCTCTCCACTTTGTCCCCATGTCCCCATTCCCTGGCGTGTGGCCCTCTACTTCTGTCCTCTTCACCGAGCCTTCTTCTCTTACTAGGACATTTGTGATTACACTCAGAACCCATCTGGGTTATGATCCAGGATAATCTTCTCATATTGATGGATCCTCAAGAACTGAAGGACAGCCAAGGACGAGTTTCCTGTGAGATCCTGCAAGCGAGACAGGCAGATTATGGAACTGCAAGCAGTTCCTGGAACACATTCTTGAAACTATCTGAAAGGTTCATGAGGCCCATTGTGTTTCCACTATAGAGTCAACAAATCATAAAACTTAACAATTAAATAATAACAGCATTGAAACTAGTCACTGCTTAATTAGCATTATTTGTGTGCATATAGTTAAAGGTTAGATATTAACATAAAGATAATCTCTGTTCACTAGGCATTCTTTATGCTAATGCAGTTACTCACATACTCTGCAAATGTAATTGTTAAACATTATAATAAAAGCCATGGTGAGCTTGAGATCAATGCTACATGCCAGAGCGAGCTATAGTCCTCTGTTCATCTTGAATACATCTTGCCTGCTGATGCTTTCTTTGTGTCTCCGATCATTTTGAACGCAATATCATATTCTCAACATGCTTACTTTTAGTTATCTCTTCAAAGTCATATAATTTACCATTTGAAGCTTCTAAGGATTAGCACCTGGATATCACTGGGAGTCCCTATTCAGCCTACAATGAATGAGAATCAAGTTTATGCTTTTCCATGAGCAAAGTCATCACATGCTTCCAGTCTGACACTAACGTTTCCTTTTCTTAAAAATTAAAAATATTGGGGTGACATTGGCTAATAGGTTCATATAGGTTTGAAGTGCACACTCTATGGTACATGATCTGTATATTGCACTGTGTGCACATGACCTTCAGTCAAATTGGCTTTCATCACCATATACTGGCTTCCTTTACCCTTTGCTATTCTCCCGTCCACTTCCCTCTGGTAACCACCATACTGTTGGCTGTGTCTATGAGTTTCAGTTTTAATTCCATATATGAGTGAGATCATATAGTTCTTAGCCTTTTCTGACTTATTTCACTTAGCATATTATTCTTAAGGTCCATTCATGTTGTTGCACATGGCAATATTTCATCTTTTCTTATGGCTTTGTAGTATTCCATTGTGTATACATACCACATCTTCTTTACCCACTCCTCTTGTTGTCTCCGTGTCTTAGCCACTGGGAATAATGTTGCAATGAATATATCTTTGCAAATAAATGTTGTGAGCTTTTCAAGTAGATACCCAGAAGAGGAATTGCTGGGTCATATGGTAACTCTATTATTTTTTTCATCGCCATTTATCCCCTCTATCCCCTCTTCCACCACCACCACCACCCCGTCCTTCTTACCCTGCAATCATGTTCATGTCTTCTCTCTCTGTTTTTCCTTTTTGCTCAATTCCTCCACCCCCTGGAGCTGTTACTTGCTCTCTATGAGTCTGGCTCAGTTTATTCATTAAATTCCAATATGAGTAAAATTATATGGTATTTGTCTTTCTCTCACTGGCTTATTTCACTTGGTATATAATGTTCTCCAGGTCCATTCATGCTGTCGCAAGGGGTAAGAATTTCTTTCTTTTCATGGCAGAGTAGTATTCCATTGTGTAAATGTACCACAGCTGTTTTATCCACTCACTTACTGTTGGATACTTGGGCTTCTTCCAAATCTTGGCTATTGTAAATAGCACTGCAATAAACATAGGGTACAAATATTCTTTCCAATTAGTGTTTTGGGTTTCTTCGGATAAATTCTCAGAAATGGAATCACTGGGTCATGAGGCAGTTCCATTTTTTATTTTAATTTTAATTTTTTGAGGTAACTCTATACTGTTTTCCACAGTAGCTGCACTAATCTGCATTCCCATCAACAGTGCACAAGGGTTCCCTTTTCTCTATATCCCTATCAAAATTAGTTGTTTGTTGATTTATTGATGATAGCCATTCTGACAGGTATGAGGTGCTATCTCATTGTGGTTTTAATTTGCATTTCTCTGATGATTAGTGATATTGAGCATCTTTTTATATGTCTATCAGCCATCCATATGTCCTCTTTGGAGAAGTGTCTATTCAGGTCTTTTGCCAATTTTTAATTGGATGTGTTGCTTGTTTTGGTGTTGAGTTTTATAAGTTCTTTATATATCTTTATATATTTTGGATATTAACCTTATTTCAGAACTGTTGTTTGCAAATATCATATCCCATTTTGTTGGTTCTCTTCTTTGTTTTGTTGGTGGTTTCTTTTGCTGTAGAGAAGTTTTTTAGTTTGATGGAGTCTCATTCATTCATTTATTTATTTTTTTATCCTCACTCGAGGACATTTTTACATTCATCTTCAGATAGAGGGGAAGGGAGAGAGGGAGGAAGAGAGAAAGAAACATCGATGTGGGAGAGACACATCGAGTGGTTGCCACCCACACGACCCCAACCGGGGCTGGGGAAAAACTGCCCTTAATAGGAACTGAATTCAGGATGCTCTGGTCCATGGGTCAATGCTCTAACCACTGAGCCAAACCAGCCAGAGTCCATTAACTTATTTTTGCCTTTACTTCTTTATTCTCAATTTTTTGAGAAACTGCCACAACTGTTTTACATAGTGGCTCTACCAGTTCACATTCCCACCAGCAGTGAAAGAGCATTTTTTTTCTCCACAAGCTCTCCGACACTTGTTAATTCCTGTCTTGTTGATAATAGCCATTCTAACAGGCGTGATGTAGCATCTCATTGTAGTTCTCGTTTGCATTTCCCTAATGGCTAGAGAAGTTGAACATCTTTTCAGATACCTGTTGGCCATTTATATCTTTTTGGGAGAGATGTATGTTCAGGACCTCTGCCCATTTTTTCTTTTTAAATATGTTTTTATTCATTTTTTTAGAGAGAGATAGAAACATTGATGTGACAAACATCAATTGGCCACCTCCTGCATGACCCTCACTGGAAATTGAGCCCACAGCCCGACATGTACCTTGACCGAGAATTGAATCGGGACCTCTTAGTTCATGGGATGATGCTCACAATCCACTGAACTACACCAGCAAGGGGCATTCTCTGCCCCTTGTTTAACTGAATTGTTTGTGTGGTGTTGAGTTGTATAAATTCCTTATGCATTTTGGATATTAACCCCATATTGGAAATGCTGTTTGCAAATATTATCTCCCATTCAGATTGCCATTTTTGTTTTGTTGGCAGTTTCTTTAGCTGTGGAGAAGCTTTTTAGTTTGATATGGTCCCATTCACTTATTTTTGCCTTTACTTCCCTTGCCTTTAAAGTCAAATTCATAAAATATTCTCTACAGCTAAGGTTCATACATTTAGTACCTATGTTTTCTTCTATGTAATTCATTGTTTCAGATCTTATATTTAGGTCTTCGATCCATTTTGAATTAATTTTTGTACATGGGGACAAACTATAATGTGGCTTTTTAATTTTCCCAACACCATTTATTGAAGAGACTTTCTTTTCTCCATTATGTGTTTTTGGCTCCTTTGTCAAAAAATATTTGCCCATATACATGTGGTTTTATTTCTGGGCTCTCAATTCTTTTTCATTGGTCTGTATGTCTGCTTTTTGTTTGTTTGTTTTGTTTTGTTGTTTGCCAATACCATGATGTTTTAATCATTGTAGCTTTCTATATAATTTAAAGTCAAATAGTGTGATACCTCCAGCTACATTTTTTCCCCCCTCAGGATTGCTTTAGCTATTCTGGGTCCTTTGGTGTTCCATACAAATCTGATGATTTTTTTGTTCAATTTTGCTAAAAAATGACATTGGAATGTTGATGGGGATTCCATTAAATCTGTATATTACTTTGGGTAATATGGCCATTTTAACTATGTTGATTCTTCTAATTCATGAACATGGAATATCTTTGCATTTTATTGCATCTTTTTCAATCTGTTTTCATAAAGCTTTGTCTTTATTAGTATATAGTTCCTTCATATCCTTTGTAAGTGTATTTCTAGCTATTTTATTCTTTGGGTTGCAATTCCAAAAGAAATGTGTTTCTTTTTTTTCCCCTGAAGTTCATTGTTAGTATATAGAAAAGCAGTGGATTTTTGTAAATTGATTTTGTATTCTGCAACCTTACTGTATTTGTTTATTGTTTCTAATAGTTTTTTGTTTGTTTGTTTGTTTGTTTTTTTTTTTGAGTCT